GCCGGTCGCAGCTGCGCGACGTCATCACGAGCAAACCGTTCGTTTGCCTTGGGAATGACTCATGAGGACTTTGTGCGCACGTGATTGAGTTTGGGGAAGGAGGGAGTGAGGGACGGTGTGACTTACCACTGCAGATTTATGTGGAGGCGCATGTAGACTTGTGGTGACTCACTTCACATAACATGTGCATAACATCTCCTGCTTGTTTTGAAAGTCAGTTTTCTATAAATTTGATTCATGGCTGCTTATCGGCATGCCCTAGCGATAATGGCAGGAAGAAGTAAGTCTTGTCATTGTACCGTCGCATCGGCGTGTAATTGTTTGTCAAGGCATATGCAAACTTCAAAGCCATGTAGTGTGAAACCCATCCACACTGACAACCGGGACGTAGACCTATAATGGCTCAAGCAGTCCCGATGACATTTCCTCCTACCAAAGGGCACTGACGCGACTCACGCATGTCAGCTACAGCCGCTTATGCAAGTTACCAACCTCTGTTCAATCTGCCTCACTTATGTCAGCCATACGAACACCAGATGTTAAAAATATACCGTTGGTATGTACCTCCTTCCCTATATTTAATTATTCTTCCTCCGTTCAATTTCTTTCATCAATCGAACTACGGTCTAGGCAGGGAGCACTTGTAGCTGTTCCACAGTCCACCTTCTCCTAACACAAGACGCCACAGAGAAGGTCTCGTACTGACAAGCTTGGTCGCCCAGTCGCGCTTGACCCAGAGCAATGGCCCATGTCCTCATGCGACGTGCAACCTTTGCGCTCGCGCGGCTGGGGCGCACACACGATCTCGAGACTGGTCGGGCCAATCATCGCCCGGAAGCTGTCTCACACAAAGCCCGCTCTGGACCTTTGTATCAATTCCCGCGCTGGCGGACACTCGGGATTCCACCTGCTAGGGTACGGACGCAGACAGAGTCGTCGGCAGTTGTGACGACCCCTCGCTCTCACACGGCCCTCACGATCGAACGCCATGCCAGAGCGAGTGGCAACTTCCTCCTAATTCTTCGTTACAGAATAAATTGTTTCTAACA